TCATTAACCTGTATGGAATGTTATACAATTTTATTCTGTATTACCCCTGTTGAATGAATAAATAGGCACAAGTAGTGCATCCAAAAATGGTATCATTATTTACTCACCCTTATGTCATTGCAAACCTGTATGACTTTCTTTCTTGTTCCTGTATCCAGTTTCGGACAAAAGGACAATAATACCACAACAGTAGTCCATATAACATTGCTGTGAAAGAGCAGTGTTATTCATGTTAGTTACAAATTGACTTTTTTTTTCCTTTCCCAGGTACAATCACCCAGAGAAGCTTCTGGAGACCAGAAGAGGGCGTTGTGGGGAATGGGCCAACTGTTTCACGCTGCTCTGCCGAGCTTTAGGCCTTGAGGCCAGATACATCTGGGACAGCACAGGTACAAATCTTACAGCATTATTATTGTACCACAATGATATAATTTGTGAATAGAAACGCTCAGTTTGGTCCTGCTTTCAGATCACGTGTGGACGGAGGTGTATTCTCAGTCGCAGCATCGCTGGCTACACTGTGACCCTTGTGAAAACACATGCGATAAACCCCTCCTGTATGAAGTCGGCTGGGGGAAGAAACTCTCCTACATCCTGGCATTCTCTAAGGACCAGGTTGTGGATGTGACATGGAGGTACTCCTGTAAACACCCAGGGGTCCTTTCCAGACGCACACAGATTCAGGAGACATGGCTGCTGCCTACGCTTAACGGTCTCAACGCTACGGTACGTTTCTCATTTTCATGTACTCATCCAAAGTGCAGCTCCTTTCATTATTGCCTCAAACAAATGAATCTGACTGTCATTACCGCTTCACACCTGTAGAGGCAGCAGTCTCTAGGAGCAGAGAGGAAGCAGCAGCTGTTGCAAAGACTGCTGGTGGAGCTGGTAGAGTTTATTTCTCCAAAGACTCCTACATCTGGAGAGCTGGGAGGTCGTGGCTCAGGATCTCTGGCTTGGAGGGTGGCTCGAGGGGAGTCTGGGCCAAGTGACACTAAAGGGGTGGGTGAGATGCTTGTCTATAGAACTCATTTTTACTGATTATGGCATTGGAGTGAGATATATATATATATAGTTTAGTTTGTGTGTGTGTGTATATTAACTTACCTTTTATGTATGTTTTCTCCCAGGATGGACAGGAACGTGTCTTCATTCCTTCAGAATCTGAAAAGCAAAACAAATTGTTCCACATTTGCTATAATGTGACCAAAAACTCTTACTTCAGACTGAGCAATGGCCAAGAGACTATCCCAGGATGGCAGAGAGGTGCTTGGAGGACAGAAAATATGTACAGGAAAGAAGAGAATGACTGGCAGATGGTTTGTTTCTTTTAGCTGTGTATTTTTTGTAGAAAATACCTTTTTTATATAACCAATATTAGTGATCAATTTTGTTTTATGTCTAATTCTACTTTTTTT